TGCTCTGATTCCTTTGCAGAAATCGCGTTTTTCCACCCCCCTACCAGGACACCCAGGTGCATGAAATCGCGCAAAATATTAGGAGGCGAGCCCCACCAGCACTCGTCCCAAGACACGGGCGAAACGCGCATCGTTGCGTTTCTGAGCTGCCCCTGGCATCAAAACTAAGCCCTTGGTCTTGTTTTCTGCACACCAGGTGAGATCTTAATCTCCCCCCCACCCCGGCAAAAAAAAAAATAATCAGCTCAATGCAGACAGCATCCCTGAGCGAAAGGATACAGTTTGAATCCTTTGAGAATCTCTTTGGCTCTGTCTTCGTGTGAAGACATGTTCCTGGAAATCGACAAGTCCCTCGTCCGGCGGGAAGACGGCTACAAGCAAACAGCTAAATGATGTCGCCGCTGCACTTTTAACTCGCGGCGGAAAATGAATAAAACGGCAGCGGCTACACGTATAAGGCCAATAGGTGCCGTTTTTAATCTCGACAGCAGCACTCTCTCTGATCCCTTAATCAACCTAGCCTAAATAGATTGCGGGTGAGTGACAGCTGATCCGCCCGCACGGATGGCGGAAAACAGGGGGCGGGCACAAAATGAACCAATCCGTGCGGAGAGGTCCGGTGAGGGGGAGGGGCTTTGGTTTGAGGCGAGAAGCGTCACCGATGGCAACCCTCAGCAACGTGACGTCACCTAGCTACGGCTGTATGGCAACGTGTAGGAGACAAAGTTCGTTTGGCGTTTCAGCTCATCCTCCTGGGTCCTGCACACTAACTGTAGCTAATAAAGTGGATCCCCTCTCTATCCTTGTGTTGTAATTTCATTGCTGGAAGAGGTCTATGTTATGGAGAACACACGGGCAAGGTGATATTCTGTGTTTTTAGATAGAGTACCACCATCTGTGGGTGGTCACTAAAATGGTATGTAAGTTGAATACAATTTCTGCAATTTCCCTCACTGGATTCATAAAGTATCTGTCTAGCTTAAACACTGTTTTAATTCATAAACAAAGCACACCATATAAACCTGCGAGTAATTTTAGAATTGTTTCAATTTTACTCACAATACAGTCCTCCATCTCTCTTTGTCTGAGGGCTTGTGGAAAACGAGAAGCAGCTGAACTGCTGGAGAGTCCCAGGAAGAGACGACTTGAGACACTGTGCACTTCCAGAGTGGCCTCTCTGCCTCTCCCCTCTCCCAGCTTTTGTTCTCCTGTGCTTTTTAATCTTTGCTGTCTGCCCTGTCTTTCTCACACCTGAAGAAGGCTTCCTGCTTGAACTGCTTGATAGAGCTGTTTCAGATACAGGAGGGAATAGGATCTAGCAGGAACAAACTCCAGCAGGGCTCCAGCAGGGCGTCTGGTGCTCGATTTCTCATCGCCCCTAGAGCACGAGAAGAGCACAGCGGTTTATGAGTGACGGCACAAGGTCTGTCAGCTGGTGCCTTCGGAGTTCTGCTGCTGAACTCCAAACAAAATGATCAAATCCGAGGTCGAAACTTTAGACTTATCTTGGCAAGAGAACTGTAAAAAGTCTGAGCCTTTTGTTCACTGTCTGTCTGTTTTGTTTTGTTTTGTTTTTATTGTGTTTTTGTTTGTACGTTGTTTCTTAACTTTTGTTTGCTTTGTTACAATGTTCTAAGCTTCTGAAATAAAATATATAAAAACTCTGAACTCTAAAGACCAGGGTGTCATTGCCCTGCCAGGTATGAAGATATGCTGTATATTCATCTTTCCTGGTCTGGACTCAGGCCTTGCAGCATCAGACCCGGGGACGAACACACTGTTGTTCTGTGACACAGGACGGTCCAGTAGAGAGTTCAAGTAGGGAGCTGCGCCAGCATGTGCAGACTGCACAGGAACAACCTGGAGGAGCACACACCTGAAGAAGACTCCACAGCATCCCTTTTCTTTTCCTCTCAGCGTGGAATAGACCTTCACCTGCTCCTGCTCAGCACGGGGCCCGTAGATAGAGCCTTCCTGCGCTTCTTACCTAAACTTCGGAGAGTGTCAGCCCATCCTGCCCAGTGCCTGCACAGGACCGTAAAGCAGTAGCAGCCCTGGCCTTTCCCCCATCATGCCTCGCTGTGGGACAGAATGTCGGTTTGGAGGCAGGACTGTTGGCACAGATGTAGCGGAGCGAGTTCGGGCACGGTGACTCATCGCCCTCCCTGCGCGTAGCAGGGACCTCAGCCGGCTGGGCTGGGGGAGGTCTCCTTTAGCTCATGCGGCTGCTTCTCTGTTGTGTTACGCCGGAGACCCGGGTTTGAGCCCCAGGTGTTGCGGGAACGGAACGGGCGGCGGAGGGCACGACCCCGCACGGAACCGCGACGGTCACACAGACACACCTGGTGCAGGTAGCAGCAGACCTGGGTCAGGTGTCACTTCACACAGTGAGTTTACAGGCGGCCAACAGAAAAAAAACGAAGAATTGGAAGCGTAACTCGCGTAATTGGACCAACAGATGCCAGAGGTCAGGGTTCAGGGTTCAGGGGTCTTCTGCTGTCCTATCCAGAGGTTCTCAGCCCTGGCAAACTGAACAGCAACATTCTCATAAGAAACACACTGTAGACTCCTGGAGAAGAGTTTATAGATCCCATTAAGTAATTAAATTGTCTAGGTGAAGCCAGGAGATTCTGTAGCTTATGGAGACTGGACCAGCCCACAGTTACAGCTGAAGTTACAGCTGTTTAATCTTGAACAGAAGAGACTCTGAGGGAACCTGATACAAAGACTGAGAGCCCAGGGATGGAAGGTGAGCCTGTTGTGACTAACAATCAGCCGCAATAAAAACACAAGCAAACAGCGCTAGAGCCTTCAAAAATAATCATAGTTTAATATTAACAATGGCAGGTACAGTGTTAGTAGGGTAAGTAAAAATAACTAGTCCCACATAAACGCTCTGGTCCCGTCAAAAATAAAACCGAAATAGAACCGAAAACACAAAAAAACACAAAAGGGAAGTCTTCTGGGGACCCGACCTGTGTGACAACTGTAAATCAAAACAAAAAACAACTAAAGGGAACAAATCCAAAATACAAGGAGGAAGAAAATAAAACAAATAAATCAATAAAAGTCTCAGGAGAGAGCTTTTGCAAGGCTCTGGTAGTCGACGTTGCTTACGGAAGACGTCTCTGGTCTCTGTAGGTCTCTGTAGATTAGGACACATAGGCAAGCTGGAGCTCCTCAGCTGATGGTAATGAGGACGTGACCTCCAGCAAATACCCAGCAGAGACGCAGACAGGCTACCATCCCAGCAGAGGGGGGCTTCAGAATAACCTAAACATTACAGAGTATTCCCAGTTCTGGGAATCGGCCAGGTCCACCCAGTGGAAGGTTTTCAGAATGAAAAGTGACACTCGAGGGAAGAGAACAGGAGGTACTTCTCTACACAGAGGGGTGTGGGAGTGTGGAACAAGACCCCCAGTCGTAGTGCTGAAGCCAGCCAGGACCCATCCTCTCAAGAAATGGATGCTGGATGAACTAGACGGGCCGAGTGGCGTTCTTGGGTTTGTGGCAGGGGGAAGCACTACTGATTATTATTAATAATAATTGCTTACGCTTTTTCGGACACTCCACTCAAAGCGCTTTACAGGTAATGGGGATCCTCTCCACCACCACCAGTGTGCAGCCCCACCTGGATGATGCGACGGCAGCCATAGTCCGCCAAAACACTCCCCACACATCAGCTCTCAGTGGGGAGGAGAGCAGAGTAATGAAGCCAGTTCATAGATGGGGATTATTAGGAGCCCCTGATTGGTAAGGGCCAATGGGAAATTTGGCCAGGACGCCGGGGTTACACCCCTACTCTTTACGAGAAACGCCCTGGGATTTTTAATGACCACAGAGAGTCAGGACTGCAGTTTTACGTCCCATCCGAAGGACGGCACCTGTTTACAGTATAGTGTCCCCGTCACTATACTGGGGCATGAGGACCCACATGGACCACAGGGTGAGCCCATCCAGGTACTGACCGGGCTCACACCTGCTAAGCCAAAGAAGAAGACAAGCACACAGAAAGTCTGTCCACAATGCAGTAACTAGCGTCTGACATGCCTGCAGCAAAGTTAAACTTTCATGAGCTCAAGCTGCTGTGCAGCAGGAGCCCCAGCCCTCCCGCTGCAGGGACAGCGATGTGCCCAGTGTGTCATCCTGGCTCTGTGCAGGACGCCACAGGGGGGCGCTGCAGGGCTTCCTGCAGAGACTGCCTGCTGATGCACACTCAGCAGGCCTGCTCCTGAGCCTGGCTTCTCACTGCAGAACAGACTTTCAATCGGGTGAACCGAGTTCTTCCCCAACAGTCGTCTCGCATATTCTAGTAAACCTGCTCTGATTCCTTTGCAGAAATCGCGTTTTTCCCTTTTGTTTAATTTCCCGACGTATCGCTGGTGTGCGTTACAAATAGGAAGGAAGTAACGAAGTTTGCTCTAATGTTTGCTCTGAAAAACTAATGTTACAGTAACAGCAGAGGGATGTTGCTGCGCCGTCATGCCGGTAGGCATAACGGGTAGACATCCTTCCTCCCGTAAGCCTTTCAAGCAGAGACTCCCTCCGTGCAGAGTCGTGCTAAATACCTGTGCAGAAACGGTTTCATCTGTGTGGACCGGCGAACACGTGGCAGCGGGAAAAGAGAGGTCGAGACTTTCAGGAGGCGCTGTGGTGCGAGTCACGCGTGGGCCGAGTCACGCGTGGGCCGGTGGGAGCCGGGAGAGAGGCCGCCCGCCCTCACCGCAGCGCTGATAAGCGCCGCTCTTTCTGAGCAGCAGAGAGATATTGTGTCAGCGCCTGACACGCAAAACATTTATCAGAGAAAATAACAAAAAAAAAACCTTGGGTCCCTGATATTGTGGACTTGTAGTTTTTAATGCAACGAGTTATTTTTTCTTAGACTGTTAGGCTGTGGATTTTAAATTAGAGGCAGCTAATTAAATGGGTCTGTGCCTCACGAGGTATTATTGCACTTTGTACCTGAAGGCTGGCGAGTGCGGACACGAACGAGCTGAGATCTCTCTTCACTCCCAAGCCCTTAGTTATAAAACCCACGTCTGGAAAGAAGACCACCGTGTGATTGGCAGCAGAGAACAGAATACTGTCGCATGTCTGTCAGTGAGAACATACCGACTTCAGTGATGATGACTTCTGATTTCTCTGATTTACTATAGTTTACTGTATGTGTTGCTATAAAAGCAGCACCGGAAATCAATTTACTGCGCAGTGTAGCTACTGTGCGTGCTGCCTGCTGTGAAACTGACTATTGAATCTGTTAGTGAGGGTCAACAATTGTAACTTTCGTGCATTGTCCTGGTTCAAGGTTTCAGCCAGATTAATACTATTAATGGTACCACCGTGAGTGCTGTTGTTAGCACACCTGCTGATTCTGACACTGTTACTACTGCTATTATAAGTATTAACATTAACGCTAACTACATATAGAATAATGCAAATACAGTGTAACACTGCTCTGTCACCCTGCAGCTCCCAGCTGGCAGCCCACTGGAGCTCAGCAGTGTGAGCCTGGTCAGTATCTGGGTGGGAGACTCCTGCGTGTTAGTGGGTCCAATTGGGGGCGCTCACCCTG